ATTATTAGAAGTTCTTCTAACACTTTCTCACCCGCCGCCCCCCACTCGGCCGCCTCCCCGCCCTCACCCGCTGCCCTTCCTAGGACCCCTGATCTCCTGCTTTACATTCTGATGGTTTGTTTTACAGTTTAAAGACTTTTTAATATTTTTACTGTTTTCTTTATTGACTTCAGGATTCCTCTGCCTTAACCTTCTACACTTTCAGAGGGTTTTTAAAGTGATGGAGACCAAACTCACCTTCTAGAAAGGAGGCACTCTCCTTGATGTAGGTGCCGAGCTGTTCGAATATCCCGTTGATCTTCTTCTTTGCGGTGACAAAGTGCTTCAGTGGCGACACATTGATTTCAGCCATTACTCGCTTCTTCTTCTTGCATGGAAATGGTAAAGGGGCGGCAGATACAGACATGGCACTGCAGAGACAGCAGAGTAAAGGTTGGATTGGTAGAGGAACCACCCTGATGCAGCTAATGATCGCTCTGCTAACCGCAGCCAGGTTTCTGTCAGCTATAAAGGTTGGATAATTATTCATCCATCATCAGCACAAAAATAAATCACTTCTGAACACAATAAAAAAAATTGTTTTGGTAGAATCAATAAAAAAAGGACAGAAAAAGTTTAGACCAGATAAAGCAGAAAGTCAGAAACGCCTGTAAAGGACAGAGCTGAGGAATTCAACCAGTAAAAGATTCCCCTGGAAACAAGGAAAGGTGTTGCACAGGTCCTCTAGAGGCAGATCGTTTCTAATTAACTGACTTTACAAACTCAGGGACACAGTTTGAACAGAGTCCTCATTACCAGCCAACTTTAACTGTTAAAAACATTTTAAACATTTCTCAGGTTCCAGTTAGAAATGATCTCCATTTCAGGATGAAGCTAACAAGATAAAGATTTATTGTTTTACCTTCGCCTCAGAGGTAATGTTTTTAAGGAGAGTTTGTCTGTCTGTGTTAACAATAAATGAAATTTGCATCAGAGGAGGGCCTCCTGCTGAGGAACAATCCATTAAATGTTGATGATGATCCAGATTATAATCTGAATGCAGGACTTTTATAAAGGATTATCTGACATTATTTGGCAGAACAAGCAGTTCCTTCCTAAACCAGCAGATGGCAGCAGAGAATACTGACAGCTTCAGCATCAGACTCAAAGTCCAACAGGAGTTACACCTCTACCTGCTGATAAGAGGAGAAGGGAGGAGGAGAAGGAAGGAGGAGAATGAAGGAGAAGGAGGAGAATGAAGGAAGAGAATGAAGGAGATGAATGAAGGAGGAGAATGAAAGAGGAGGAGGAGAATGAAGGAGATTGAAGGAGGAGAGAGCAGAACAAACACCAGAGGCTGCAGAAACACGCTGCACCTTATTCAGAAAGTTAGGAAATGAGGAATGATGCATTTAAAGTTGCTAAAGATCCAGATCAGATAGATCAGCATAGATCCAGATCATATTGATCAACATAGGTGGATTAGCATAGATCCAGATCAGATGGATCAACATAGATCCGGATCAGATGGATCAGCATAGATCCAGATTAGACGGATCAGCATAGATCCAGATCAGATTGATCAACATAGGTGGATTAGCATAGATCCACATCAGATGGATAAGACTAGATACACATCACATGAATCAACATAGATCCAGATCAGATGGAACAGGCTGGTTTTCTGATCTAACAGGCTGGTTTTCTGATCTAACAGGCTGGTTGTGAACAGGCTGGTTTTCTGATCTAACAGGCTGGTTTTCTGATCTAACAGGCTGGTTGTGAACAGGCTGGTTTTCTGTCAGCCTGTGTAGAGCTGAATATTCCAGATCAAACCTGTCCTACCTGGGGTNACGCTGCACCTTATTCAGAAAGTTAGGAAATGAGGAATGATGCATTTAAAGTTGCTAAAGATCCAGATCAGATAGATCAGCATAGATCCAGATCATATTGATCAACATAGGTGGATTAGCATAGATCCAGATCAGATGGATCAACATAGATCCGGATCAGATGGATCAGCATAGATCCAGATTAGACGGATCAGCATAGATCCAGATCAGATTGATCAACATAGGTGGATTAGCATAGATCCACATCAGATGGATAAGACTAGATACACATCACATGAATCAACATAGATCCAGATCAGATGGAACAGGCTGGTTTTCTGATCTAACAGGCTGGTTTTCTGATCTAACAGGCTGGTTGTGAACAGGCTGGTTTTCTGATCTAACAGGCTGGTTTTCTGATCTAACAGGCTGGTTGTGAACAGGCTGGTTTTCTGTCAGCCTGTGTAGAGCTGAATATTCCAGATCAAACCTGTCCTACCTGGGGTCGCGCTCTGTGGTCATCAGCGGTCTCCCTGCATCCTGCCTCCGGCCTGAACTCTAAGCAGGGCCGCCAAGGTTAGTGGGGGGCCGTCCGGAGCCTCCGGCAGCGGGACCACTGAGGGGTCACTGGGGGGTCAAAGGTTACCAGGGTCAGCCTGTCAGGGATGCTGGAAGCGGGAAGCAGCAGCTCCTCTCCGGCGAACAGAATATTCCAGCTTCTCTTCCAAGGAGAAGGATCAGGAGAGGCTGGCGGAGCTCAGCCGGAAGCGGAAGTGACGTCTTCTTCTGCTCCTCGTTCTATTTGAGCCGAAGAAGAAGAGGCGCTACCGCCACCATCTGGTGAGGAGTATTAGTTCAATGGCTGCCATCAGTTTTGTTATTAGTATGTGTTGCCTAGCAACGCATACATTACGCCACAGGTTCCTTTACTGCTAACCTCACTGCAGCCGAAATTAGCTGATTGTTTTCCTCACCTAGCGTCACTTTTTATACATTTAACAGGATTCTGTGAACTTTATGAGTCAAGGAGCTCTTTTCCCACCGAAGCTTCAAAATCAGTTTGATCAAAATCCAAAATAAAAATATTGAGATCGAGGAAATTAAAAACTAGGATTTTCTATTTTAGAAGAAAAAACTGTACCATTCAATTTTGCAAAGAAAAATGTTTTTCAGGATGAGTCAAGCTGAGCGGGAGGCCATAATGATGACAGCTGATCACCTAAAAACATAGAGAACGTAGTCAAAGCTGGAAATTACTTTTTAAAGTTGTGATGTTTTCTCTGCAGATGTAGGATTGCTTTTCTCACTGACGAAAAAGTTAAGATGATTTCTTATTGTAGAGAAAAGACCAAAGATCTCCATCTGGCTCTGGAGCTGCAGACCTAAACTATGTGATCAATATCTGCCCCATGCCACCAGGAAGGAGGAAATTGTGAAATCTGTGGTTCAGACAATTGGAAGGTCAAAGCTTGTTCTTCAGCACTTCCTGACAGCTTTCACTGGATTGTTTTTTGTTGTACTTTATTTTTTATTTTTAACAACACATGTATGCTGATGAAGATTCTCAGTCATCCAGGTCATAGTCATTCCGTAAAAGTTTAAAAACAAGCCCCCGGTCTTGGTTTCCAAGGTTTGAAGACGTTTCGCTGCGAAAC